AGATTGCTTGTCTTGAGGTCCCGGTGTAAGACCCAGTTTGCGTGGCAATGCGCAACCGCAGAGAGAAGTTGCCGCAATAGGGTTTTGATCTCCGATTGAAGAAATGGAGCGGGCATTTGTGTGAGGAGTTGCTTGAGGTCGTGCTCAATAAAATCCATGACAATAAAAACTCTGACAGATAAGAAACGTAGAGGAAAACGGAAGGTAAGGCTCACTGGGTCAAAGTGTCTCCCACCACAATTTCACGCACGCCAACAACGTGTTCGTGCTTACAGACCATAAGAGCCATGACCTCCCGCAAACTAGTAATCGGAAACCCATTCTTTTCCTCGTCGAGCTTGAGCTTTTTGAGTGCCACAATTTCACCCGTCTCTTTATCCCGAGCTCGAAAAACTACGCCGTACGTTCCCTCTTCGATATGGTTGAGTTTTTCATAAGAGTAGACGGACCGACAAGGCTGTATAGCTGGATGAGCAGTCCGAGGTGGGATGAATCGGCTCCGAGTCGAGACGGCTGGCGGGGGACTTGCTCCCTGTCGAAGTGCTCGAGGAACAGCTTGAACGGTTGGCTCTTCTTCGGTATCTCGCGAGAGCGCAGGGATATCCGGGGAGGGTTGACGAACTCTAGCTGATTTCTTTGAACGCTTTTTAGGGACGATATGGATGGGTGGTTCCTCTTCTCCAACATCGTCCCACTTGGACCTTTTGGGAGTGGGATTTATTTTGGGTGAAGATGGACCTGTGATATGTTAGTAGTTCATTATGGTGAAATAATGGATTGGGCAATAACATACCGGCGCCAGGAGTCGACATGAGGTGGCTACAAACTGGGAGTGAGTGTGTTGACAATAGTTTGTCCTAGCGATGTTGTACTGGAATTATGTAAGTACTACACCCACCCACAAAACTGACGCAGCATGCATGTCGATGCTCTAGACCGGCAGCATCTGCAAATAGACTTGCACAGTAAATTCGATACATAATTAATTATGTTATCATATAGAACTAGCCGGAATGACACGGAAGTACATACCTGGGATAAGAGAAAAAAATGGTGGAAAAAAGGGTTTTCGGGTCACTACCTGGCAAGCTACAGCTTAGCAGTAGTAGTTTTTTCGTAGCACTACACTCTCCAAGTACAGAAAGTACCTGTGACGGTATGTGACGCCGTTATGGAGCTATGGGCGTCTGAAAGTGTCGTTTTTGGCGTCTCTGGTCAAAAACACTCAAAACAACGCTTTCAGACGCCCATATCTCCACAACGGCGGCACCAGTTATTACGCGCTGGTGCTCGTTGTAACAGTAAAGTATAGCACTACAAAAAACGTTATTATAGCTAAGCTGTAGCCGGCCCGGGTGAGTGACCCGAAAACTACCCCCTCTACCATTTCTCCCCCCCCCCCCCGTCACAACTATGTAGTTCTGTGCTGTTCCGACTGGTTCAATGTATACATAGTATACTGCGTTATGTACCGGAATTTTTGTCTAATTTTACCGATAGATGCTGCTGGTCTACAGTGCGAACAAGTGTGGTAGATCAATCTCGTGTGTATGTTCCTATGGTCTAGTGGTTATGACGCTTCGTTGTGGACCGTGAATCGAACACACGATTACGTAACTCCGAAGCAGCCCGTGTTCGATTCACGGTGGGGACACTCTTTTTTGAGCTCATAAACCCCGCATACAACCACTCCCAATCATCTTACATTTTGCCCCAAAGGTATTGCCTTGCTAATATCTAGCTAACACCACAACCCCCCCTCCCCACTCCCCCCAGCCGACGGCAAGGTACTCCTGTAGAGCTTCTCCAGCGGCAGTGACATCCGGCTCCTGCAGGCTTCTTCTTCGGACTTCCAAGTTCCGCCATAATCATGGCGGTCGCTCGACGGATTTTGTTCCTCCGCGACACCCCCCGACCCTATAAATGCGCCTTGAACCGACCTTTCTTCAGCATCGCCCGCTTTAGCTTCCTTTCAACTCGATATGAGCAGCACCCAACCTCAGCCTTCAGCTACTGCAGTGGTACGCATTGCGCATATACCTAGATCGGGCTCTCCTAACACTCTAGATTTTACTCAAGGCATCGAGCCCAGTCCTGCCTGGCCTCCCACCTGCGTGCAAGCAGCTAATGGAAGCCAAGGCATGGAAGGGTAAGTCGTTGATATTTCTGGCCCGGTTCAAGTGTAACCAACCAAATGGCAGGGATGAGCTTTGCAGATGTTGGAAAGGCCATTGGAAAGGATGAAATTTGGACTGCTGCACTTTTCTACGGACAGGTAAGGTTTTTCTACTTACGAGCTCTACCATAGAGCTCTTATCCTTTCGCCAGGCCAAACCATCTGCACAAGAGCTTGCAAAACTGAGCGAGGTGCTCGACATTCCATCACAACCCCTCACGGATAGCCTGGGCGATCATTGGTGGCCAACTCGTGGGCTTGGACCGGACCCACCAACCGACCCTGTCATCTACAGACTGCACGAGGTACGGCTATCAATCAAAGCAACGCCAGTGTGATTGAACTGACTGGGCTGGGTGCACCGCAGGGTATACTTGTGTACGGATATCCTATCAAGGTGATCTAATTCCAATGATTTTAACCAGAAGACTGATTATAC